CCTTTGCCATATTACAAACAATGCAATCACACATTTATCATTTTTCTTTTTTCTCGTGTTGTTATCATATTGCAGTTTCTAGTCATATTTGGAAAAGCTCCAGAAAATCCAATGATTGATTATCAACTTTTTGATGTTATTCTTCATTTGATAATCTCTGATATCTCACAGGCCACAAAATGCGATTCCAGTATGTGGTGCCAATCCACTTAAATCTTTGTACCGGTTCTTCAAATGCTCAGCAACTCCAAGCCCTGTCGTAGATTTAAGTTACATGACGCTGAGATGTTCTGTTTGCCAACAATTTCACTCTGGAAGCTTCCCGTCAAATTCGTTCATTCTTAAGTAAAATTATATATAAACCAAAGAACATTTGATTTTGAATATCACTATGATCACTCACATGCCGTCATTAACCAATTCACACTACCTTTGTTTCATTCGTTCCATTTATTTAACAAAATTAATTAAACAATTATTTATGAATGAAAACAAAGAACATTTTCGGATCATCTAAATGAGTATTATTCTAATAATCAATGAAGGTGTAGCCAAATTTCATTAACGAGGCCACCACGAAAAAAGTAGTATTAGTATCCAAAATTCCTATGGATTTGAAATATGTAAACAATAAAGATTGAAGAAATAATAAACAATTGCATACCAAACAACAACCACAGCAGAAACATTAAATATTCAATCAATATCCTTGACCTTTCATCAAACTCAAAAACAAACATCTATTTATAGGCGTTTTTGTGGTTGGTTATTCAAAAAGGAAAAGCAATCTTCCGTTAATTGATATGAATATTTTCAAAATAATTACGTTTGGAAAAGTTGAAAACCATAATTTCCAGAATCTAGAGCAGTTTTTATTTATGTACACATGAATATATCCGGTAACGGAACTATGTGGGTGTTAATAAAACAATCAAATTCCAAAGTGTTTTTTTTTTTCATTTTCTTAAATATGAGGATACCTAGATGGGAATTGAAATGTCTTAAGAGCCGACGCCCACAACAATTTGTATTTTACGTTGTATTCAATTTTTATGCTAGACATTAGTGTTTTTGGAACATATTTGTTTAGTCTTTGTAAATAATTATGGTATGTGGGTCAAGTGAAGAAGTTCCTATTCAGTAGATATGTGGACACTTATATTGTTTATGTAAATATTTAATGTTTAATGTTTGAGTATTTCATGCAAATGTTGACCGCAACTGCTCCTCAAATGGTCCATCCGCTTAGTCCACGCTATCCAACATTTTGGGCCGCTATCCCACAAGTAAATGCTTCAATATTGTCTTCAAAAAGTGAGCTGACCATAATATGGAAGAAGCGCGCACTGAACTTTCTTAACAGAGCACGCATTTTGATAATAAAATTCAATGATTTGCAAGCGTTGTTTGATTCGACGATTCATAGTTAAATTATAGATCAAGCTGAAGATGTTTGACAGTGAGCTGTTTAATCCAGTGTTTAGCTAACAAATCATAAAGTCTGAAATTCCAACAAATTATACAGGTTTCTTTTGTGGATGTGACCAGTGATGAATGCTACTGCGATTTTTACTCCTGTTTCCAAAGGTGGGAATTTTTTCGTCAGATGCCTTCAGAAGGCTTAAATGGATTTTGTGGTATTTAGACAGAAGTCCGATATTCTCAATATTGCAGTATTTCAACAAAATTCGATGAATCTACCTTCGTGGAAATAAATCAAGTTGGTACCGAATTCCTTATATTGCCGTTACATTTCTAAGGATTCAGTACAGTCTGTGTGGTATTGGTTTCCCCAATAGCGTGTGATTTCTTTCCAACACAAGATAGATTGCAAAGATGTACAGCTATCCTATAACTTTAAAAAGCCAAAACTGTGACTCTAGGCATGTATCGTCCTGGGACTTCTTAATGTGTGACCTTTGGGGCATATTGAAAAATATTACTCTTATCATAGATTCTCTACAGATTAAATTTGTAAATTTCGAAACATTGGAAATTAAAATGGAAACCTAATTTAAGTTAGGTGTAACTAACTAACTGCAACATATCTAAACCATTCCAATTTGACCTTCAGTGCTTCGAAATTCATGAATTTAAAATATGAAGAATATTAACGGATGTGCTTATGCCGGCTTGCCCTTTTCCTTCGACTCATATGCGCGAGAATAGCCTCGAAAATACACGATCGACCTTGTATATCTTTATGACTTTTTGCAATAGTCAAAAAATTATATTATATAAAAATATATAAAATTATATAAAATTATATTATATTAAATATTAGTTTATGCAAATAACGTATGCAGCATCTTCAGGATCAAGTAATTAATGTGTCTACGATCAGGTGGTTCTGAAAGCACTACATTCCTTTACAAAAACATTGGCAAAAATACTGTACTAAGTTTTGCAGATGGACTAACTAGACTTCAATTAATACTCAATGAATGCCAATCCTGTGCCAATTCGTCCCATTCTGAGGGGCAATACAGCTTACACTGCGTTCAATATTATTGAATCTTTCAGGTTCCTCAAACAAAATGACGATATTTGACAATATTCTAGCATCTATTTTTAGGAATGATTTTATTCTTTCAAATAAAATGCGACTACTTTTTTCAAATCAATCTAATTTCTTGAATTATAGGTCATATCAATAAAATGATGGTGAGGAAAATTAGATTTTATCTCCATAAAATACTAACCTCAACTCCAAAAAAAAGCATACAGGGCGACATAAAAAAACTGCAACCAACTTCAGACTGCTGTCATTTCTAAGCCACTCGTCCGACAGCTGTTAAAATTATTCCAGTGACAGATCATTATATTGTTTATAAGCGTACAAAAGCATTTTGGTCAGAATTTTCCAAAAAAAAAGTTATTCGTGATGGAATTCAAGCGGCATAGTGTGATTTCTTTATATTTGGCTGGAAAACCACAAGTGGCTATCGTTAGAGCACTCAAGCATTTAAATGTGAATAAATCTTTTGTGTCTCGTACCATCGCTCATTACCGTGATACTGGTAGCGTAGTTCGACGTCAAGGAAGTGGACGGAAGAAAACAGCAACATCAGCAGAAATGGAAAAGAAGTGACTTGATCGATAAAGTAAAGAAGGGATCTCGCGTCGCAGTGGCCGAAAAATGGCTAGTGAGCTGAACATATTGCAATATTCCCTTCGGCAGATATTGAAAAATTAGCTCGGGGTTAATCCATTTAAATTCCAAAAAGTATAAAGAGCTGAGATGGTTACAAAATGAGGTTCCTCGCTTCATTTCCAGCGCACAATAGCCACTAAAATCTCCAGATACCAATCCGTTGGACTATTGTGTACGAGTATTTTGGAAAGCAAGGTTTGCACTAAAAAATACCAAAGTGTCGATCTCCTCAAGCAAGCGCTTCGCCGGCCGTTGGCCATTTGAAGGTCATAATTCGTGCCAAAGGTGACCAATTCGAACAAATTTAAACTTATTTTTTGCTTTCATTCAATAAATTTTTAAAAAATGTAAAAATTATGGCGTTTTACTTTGTAGCAGCTTTTTTTAACTCACCCTGTATATGTGTGTTTGTGATCAGCTTGCATCATGATAAATCCAGCAATGAAATGATATTGTTCCTAGAATATTTTTTATGAAAAAAGTGTGTATCGGGCCAAATTAGCTTATATTTTGACATTTGGTGATCTCATTGCGTAAAATCTCTTCTCGATGAAATACTTTATAAACGTCCCCCTTTTGAAATTGCATCCACATTTTGAGTATTTTAGAGGTTACAATTTTACATTTAGGCTTCTAATTAGATGAAAATTTGCACCATAAAAATGTCAGTATCGGTCAAAATTGTGATACAGGGCGAGTATATTTCATTTAAAAATCTTATCCATCTTATCTTCCCATCCGACATGATTGTTATTTAATATTCAGCCATCTTTGAGTTTGTAACAATCATAAGGGAATCCCGTAGAATTATTTGATTTTTGGACGTATTATTATTATTTTGAATCAGAAAAACTTATTTGCAACCTGAGAATGTTTTGTTATCGATTTTTGAATAGTAATTCAAACAACCAAGTTTTTTCTAATGCAAAATTTCAACTCCAACATTGAAACCCTGAATCTTATTCAACTCTGCTACATTTTTCAAAATAAAGAAATTTCCTTATTGCAAAATTTCATACCAGTTTCAAGACCACTTGGTGTGTATTATTTCTTGAATTCCTATAAAACATAAATGAAAACAAATCAATGTACCCACTTTCAAATAAATAGTAAATTATATACATACATTCTGATGACATTCTTTTATATCAATTTTGGTATCCAACCGTGCCCCAAGACATGCATTTACAATATTGTTTAGCTTATAGCGTGTATCTATGTTTGTGCATATATTATATATCGAAAAAGGCTGACAATTTATTGTGACGACGATGATGTGAACAAGCCTTAAAACATAAAAGCCATCAACGCCGTTCGAGTCAATTTAGTTTTACGCTAATGTAAAACAGCCAAACCAATGTGGATAGATATTTGCTGCGTGTGACTCAGCCTTGAAAAGCAACAGAGAACAGACCCAAGACCACTGAGTCACAAGTAATAGAAAATTGTTCGTTAAATTTACTACTCCAAGTTCTCCTTGGCTGAAACTGTGGAATAAATTGAAATCATATAGCAAAGGTTGTATTTAATTCATTTGAGAATTTTTCAAAACTGTTCGTTATTTGTATGGTTGATCCTATCCTGCCCAGTGGTGGTTAGCTTGGTGAAATTGCAAGGAGTGTCCTCCAAAAAATTGTGTAAAGCAGCCTACAACGCCATCTATAATTATCATTTATAACTATTGTTTTGCATAACACTAATGCATGTGTACCATTCAATGGCTTTCAACTTTTGAAGTTTATCCATTGGCACCAGCTGAGGTAATGGTATGGTGTAGCTGTGTGACTTTGTGGCCTACATTTGAGAATGAACATCAGTAATAACAATGTTTTATGCTTGCACTTACCTGTCTTTCTTTTGTTTCTTCTTTTATTGTTATATTTTACTCGGCAATATTGCTACTACTCAGGAACGGACGTTGAACGTTGTTTCTTTTTCGGTCAAGACCAGGTTAGCCTTGCAGTAATCAACAACCAGCCAGTTTATCCGACAAAATCAGCTTTACTTTAATTCCGAAATCTTGAATGAAAATTGCCTGCAGCCTTTAGTTGTACAAAAAATGCTAGGTTTCCTTTCCCCTTCCTTGTGGGTTGGTGTGGAACTATTGTTGTTATCATAGAGTGATGCAATGACGACAATGCCTCTAACGCACATACACACAAACTTCCAATTGAAACCACCTTTAAAATTCAATTGGACTTTCTTAAACTGCTATCATTTGTGTCAGCGGATGTTTGGTTTTGGTGTTCCCAGCAAAAGGGAGGGACGTTTTCATTCACTTATTCTTAAATATTTTTCATTCACAAAACTTTTCGTATAATTATATTCTTTTTAGTTGTATGTATGTGGAAACGACTGTGGGATGTGGGCTTTTCTTCTCTTGCTACTTTTTTGTACACACACGCACAGGACAAGGCCTTAAATATACTTTAATTTTTTTCTTTTCTTTTGTTACTTCGCGCACAGCAGCTGATCACAATCCCAAATTACGGAAGATCTCCAACGTTTCCTTCGCACTGTTCCTTCGGTGGCTTTCACTTTTTCTTTCTTGGTAGTTTGCATCTAGGCTGGATGTAATTTTTTATATTTTCTTCACAGGTTCATTGACATACCACCACCTTATTTTGTTTACTACCCCTCTTGGCCCCTTACTGCAGCACAGCACACACACTTTTGTTGTAATTACACAAACTTTATTACGTTGCCACTGTTCGACTTTCCCTCTAGATGGCACTGTTACAAAATTTTAAATAGACAATAGCTATGTTTGATTACTTTGAAAATTTAATTTGGTTAATTTTTAATTTTCTAAATGAAAAGAATTGACCTACAACTTCTCACATACCACACTCATTAACTACATATATACATGCTTCTTCTTGCTCATCATCCCCTAAATATTTGCATACCACACTCTCTCAGCGCCAGCACGGACACTCTCTCGCAGTTCTCAAATTTGTAGGGTATCACACAACCGACGGTCGTTAGGGAAAACTCTCTTTTGCTTTGGTAATTTTTTTTATTAAAATAAAACTTTTTCCTTTTAAATTTATTCGATAAATTTTATATTTTTTCTACATATGTCATTATAAGTAATGAATAATCGAGTATTTGGACACACTAAGCAACCGAATAATCGCCCCAATTGGTTTTATTTATACCAGCCAATGTTGCTGGTGGGGAGGCAAATCGTGCTACTCTATATATAAGACAACAAACATTAGTAGCAGCAGCAACAGCAAAGCAATAGTGCAATGGTGTTTAAGGAGTTGGCCCACTAATTATTGATTTTCTCTTTTAAAATATACACTCTCAGAGATACACGACAATTCAAATATATTATTTGTTTTTTCGCTCACTAAGTTGAGAATTTATTTATTTTATTATTAATTAAATTTATACACAATTTCTTTGATTATTTTCCACACAAATTTCCTCCGTGGTGTCGTGTTATTCGTTTTCATAACCGTCAAAATGTTTACCTTTTCCTTTTTGGGGGAAATTGAAGTAGGGACATGTAAGTCGATTTTCGTCTAATTGCCAATAAACGGAAGAGTGTCCAAAGAGGAAATCAGATAAGTGCTGCCAATTAGAGAAAGAAACTTAGCGGCGGAGCCAAGATAAAAGGTGTGTCTGGTTACCCTAAAATTTGTAACAATTGTTACAAATTGTTACTGGAAGTCGTCTGTTAACCCGAAAGTTTTGCAAAAGAGAGCGGTTGGAGAGAGAAATTTTGACAGTTCTTTCAGTGAGAGTTTGCAAATTCTTGCTGGACAAATTTCTTCTTGCAATCTCTTGCAACTCTTCTTCTTCTCATTCATCGACATTCAATCAGATGTTTTCTATTGTTTATTTATTTCTTTTTGTGATTTTAATTTGAAAATATTTTTTTGGAATTAGCAAGACTTATTTATTTTTGCAGAACAACTTTACAAAATGTGAAAAAAGTAAATATTATTATGTAATAAGAAAATAAAAGACTATTTCCAGCATTTTTAGACAAATGCCATTAGCAACAGGTTTAAAAGATTCCGCGGAACACATCATATCTATCTTCCTTTTATTGCTCATATTTTTATTTTATTGTCAATTTCCTTTTTATTTATAAAACTTGTGAAATTGGGGTGGTTCCTTTCGTTTAATTCTTTTAATGGGGGACAAATTGGTTTGTTTTGACAAATCAGCTGATTAGTTGCAAGCTTCTGCAGGAATACCGTCTGTTTACTTTTCGCAATTTCCTTGCAAAAGAGAATAAAACTACCTTTCTCTCTCAGAAAGATGTTGCTGGACAATTCCTGCAGGAAAAGTAACCAGACACACCTAAAATGTGCCTAACAAAACATGAGTCTAAAGAGGAGTGAAAGTAAATCGAGCAGTAACTCTATTCCTTTACATACGAGAATCATTAACTTTTGTACTTTTTATTTGAAATGTGTTTAGAAAATAAAAATTAATTGGAAGCATGGTACAATGATATCAAGGTAGGGCTATGATACAATATGAATTCAATATTTTCTTGTCATGCGAAGACTTCAAGCTGTTTATGTACTCACACCTTTACTCTCCACTCTGACTCATAACTCTAAATGCACATTTTAGACCTTACCAATTACCAAGCGTTCATAATAAAATTCTATATTTATTGAGCGATGTCCGTCCGTCTGTACAAATCACTCTAGCTCTGAACGAAATGAATTAGGTTGATAAAATTTTACTCAAATATATTTTAGGTCAGCAGGACTTTTGGTTTTGAAAATGTCCATGTTTTCAACAAACTATACCCACAGATTTATGTAACAATTTTAGCACGAATTCACTGTAAATTAGTAGTTTATGTTGCCAGTATGTAGGAAATATCCTTGCATAGAACTGTTTAAATAGGTTCATGTTTTGGTATAGTTCTCATATAATTGTAGCACCAGATATTCAGTACTTTTCACTGGAATTATTTTAAATTTGTATTTTGATTTTTGATAAATTTTTCATGAAATTTTCTAAAAATTGGTATTTAGAGTGGTAAAATTACAGAAGGTAGAACTAAGCCACCCCCTGAATACAATTTATTTTCTTTTGGTGCCCTTATTCTGACAAAACAAATACACATTTTGTGCATATATGTGTATTGTTTTGAATAAAAAATACAAAAATTTGAAATTATTTCAAATTTTGATTGCAAAATAAATTCTTATTTTCGACGTTAATGGGCAGCACATTGTACAATTTTGGGATAAAACAGTATTGTCCTACTATTTGAAATTCAATCTTCGTGGGGTTTTCCAATCTAAGAATTTTGTTAAAAATTAAAAATAAACAAAACGAACTGTTGTATATTTAAAAATCTATTTGACACTATAAAACTCCAGCACATAGTTGCATTTTTTCTAGTTTCTTTGAAGTTGAGCAACCTTTCTTATTTAGATATGTTATTTGGAGTTCGTAATAGGCGCCGCTTTTTCTGGCATATAACTCGCTATAGGGGTTCACGTTTTCGTATAGCCCCCAGTAATAGTATATCCCAATATTTGGTATTTAGATTAGTAGTTTGGTAGTTAGATTTTTCAATAAAAGTATTTCAAATTCGGGATTTGAAGATTCTTGTGTAGCCCCCATTGATGATTTGAGTTAGAATTGAACTATCTCCAATTTGATGTTTTGAGTTCGTAATAGGCACAATCTTCTCTGATTGTTATGCTTTTTGTATACCAAAAAAAGTTTAATATTCTTTTACATAAAGGAACATAACCAATACCAACATGTCTTACTGCAGCGTTGATCTAAATTGTATGCTACAGTGTGATACAACTATGAAATGTCAAATAGAAAAAAAAAAAAAATAAACGGAGTAGCGACAGCCAACGTCGCACGTGTTTTCAATTGTTTCTCTAGTTTGAAATTCCCTAAAAGTTAAAAAAAATATAAAATATATAAAAAATGCGTCGTCCCAAGAAGGTATACTATTAAAAGAATTGCTTTGCACTTTACTATTTACTAATTGTCTATTTCTACGCAGTATGAATCCGGCGAGGCGACCCAATATATAACTCGCAGAGCGGCACTGCGTAAGCTACAGTTGTCTCTGAATGATTTCCGTCGTTTGTGCATTCTGAAAGGTGTCTATCCCAGAGAACCCAAACACAGACGCAGGGCCCAGAAAGGTTCTTCTGAGATCCGGATTTTATATCATGCCAAGGATATTAGATTCTTATTGCATGAACCAATTGTGTGGACTTTGCGTGACTACAAGGTGAGTTGACTTGCTGAAACGTGGTATTGTTGGATGATTTATTATGACACTCCCCTTTTTCTTTTAGATCTTCGCCAAGAAAACGGGACGTGATCGCGCAATCAAAGATTTCCGTAACTTGAAGAGGCGTCTTGCTCAACATCCTGAATTGAAGCTCGATCACATTGTAAAGGAGCGTTATCCCACATTCATCGATGCCATCAAAGATTTGGATGATTGTCTGACACTGCTATTTTTGTTCAGTACCTTCCCTTCGTTGCGTTTAATTCCACGTGAACAATCCGCCCTATGTCGCCGATTGACTATTGAATTCCTGCACTATATTATTGCCTCGAAATCTTTGCGCAAGGTTTTCATCTCCATTAAGGGCTATTATTTCCAAGCTGAAATCAAGGGCCAAAAGGTCACATGGATTGTTCCCCATTACTATCCTTTCAAGCCACACTCCAAGGCTGAGGTTGATTTCAAAGTGATGTCAATTTTTGTTGAGTTCTATACAATTATGTTGGGATTCGTCAATTTCCGTTTGTATCACAGCCTTAATATGGTATATCCACCACAATTTCCTGCTTCCGTCTTAAATGATAATGAAGAAACACTAAAGGATGAACATGCTTTTGTTTCGGATCGTATTGCTGCCTTGAATTTTGAATTAATGCGCACCGATACAGTAGTTGAGGAAGAGGAGGATCTACAAATGGATATGGAGTTGTTGGAACAAGATGGCGATTCCAAGAAGGTATTGAAAATGAAACAAGATGCCCAAGAATTGGCCAGACTACGTACGCTCTTCAAAGGTCTGAAATTCTTCATAAATCGTGAAGTACCACGTGAACCCTTGGTCATTCTGCTGCGTTCATTTGGTGCTAAAGTTTCTTGGGACTCAACAATCTTCCCGGGAGCCACATTCGATGAGACCGATGAAACGATAACCCATCAAATTGTTGATCGTCCAAGTCTTAGCAAACAATACATTTCACGCGATTACATACAGCCACAATGGGTGTTTGATTGTGTCAATAGAAGACAACTTTTGCCCACAAATAAATATTTTATGGGTGTTGTATTGCCACCTCATTTATCGCCTTTCGTTGATCCTAAACGTGATGATTATGTACCACCAGAAGAAAAGGCATTAAGCGATCCCTCTCTTATTGAAACTCACGAACAGAGTGATGAGGAGGTATCTGATTCCGATGAAGAAAAGGAAGATGGCGAAGCTGCACAAAATCTGATGGATGCCCAGCTGCAATTGGCCTATCAGGAAGAGAAAATCGAAGCCGATCAATTTATGGGCGACGATGTCAACGAGGATGAAGTTGAAGATGATGAAGAGGGGTCTGAAGAAGAAGTAGATCCCAAAGAAAAGGCCCGAGTTGAGGAGGTAAACTTGTATAACTTACAAAACAACATTGTTTTAATGATTAATTTGTTATTTTTGTATCTTCAAATAGAAAAAGAAAATGGCTGTACAATCTGGCAAAGTCCACAAAGAAAACAAACGCCAGCTACGTAAAAACGAAGTTGATGAACATCGTTTACAGGCCCGCATGGTTAAACCACGTCATCGCAATCTTTTCCGTAAGCTGATACGTGAAAAACAAGCCAAGGAAAAGGAAGAATGGTTGTTGAAAAAGAAGCGCCGTGTTATCGAGGCCGAGGATAAGGCACAAAAGAAGGCTGCCAAGAAAGCGGCTAAAAAAGCTGTGGCTGCCTCAATAGCCATGTCTAGTTAGATTATTGTATATGAGCTAATTTTCTAATACAACTAATTTTATGGTCTTTTTCTTTAGCTAATAAGTTTCAGGCGTTATCACTAGAATGTGATATAATAAAAGAGTAGGCATTTTTTTTAGAAACCATGTAAATAAAATCTTTTAAAATTAATATAATTGGTTTGTTCTTTAAAGTGACTCTGGAGGCAATTCTCTAAATATCTTCTTAAATTCGCAATGCGTGTCCTTATTATTATTATTGTCTTATTACACACAACAGTACTTCGCAGCCTTGTTTGTGAAAAAAGTCTTCTCCGGATACATTTTCTCACAGTGTGTGTCCTTCGAATTTGTCTTGTTTTCAGACACACATTAGGAATTCAAAGAGCCATCAGTAGTTCGCAGCTTTGCCTTGGCCGTTGCAACCATTGTGACGAGTGTTATGTCTGCTTGTTATTGAGAAAGTATTTCTGAAATTGTTACAATTAACCACTTCTGTTTTTAAAATATGAAGGGCCTGTTGAATTTTTTATAGATTTGTGAAAATAAGTCTTCTCCGGATACATATTCTCACTGTCGTTTTTTATAGAGAAGGATATTAATCTCGAGGGATATTACAATGCATTGAAGTTCTTCATTTAATTTTTTATACCCTCAGCCATATGGCTAGAGAGGGAATGTATCATTTAATACGGCCAAAACGTGCGTCCTCGAAATAACGGTTTAGAACCTTTGGACCAAATTCGTTTCAGGACATTTGGAGTCGATCTAGCGATGTCCGTCCATCTGTCTGGCTGGCTGGTGCGCACGATAACTCTCGAAGAGAGTATCCGATTTAATCCATCGTCAACATTTTGACTAATTATACCTCCTATTAAATTTTGAATATCCATGAAGCTCCTAAAACACAAAATTAACATTCGATTTCATTCAAACTTGGCACATCTCAATATTTCCATCAACACAAAATACATTATAAAGATGGTACAGATCGACATATTTCTTCTGGTACCTCCCCCCCCCCCCCCCCACATAGGGTTCAAGATATTTGAAAAAGAAAACGCTCAAAGAAAGCGAAGTAAGCATCCAACTTTCTTTAAATATATCATATAAAGTATGGGAATAGTCCAAATCTTGTACGTTGGAATATTTTTATCAGTTTTAGGTCAGAAATGCGTTGGTAAATATTGTAAACTGTTTCGGAACCTTGTTTTTTTCTGCGATCGGTGGATTCCATATGGATTGATTACAATAACATTTCCAATACTTTTCAATAAAAGTTTATTTTATTAAATATAGTAATAATAATGTGTATCCTATGAATTATTGTATTAAAACTGTATTGCATTTTGCAAACAAATGCAAATAAGAAATAATTGCAAAAATAATGTGACGAACAAAATGAAAAAAAATGAGAAGAAATGTGTAACAAAAAAGGAAACTCTTGTGTAAATGTTTGGGCTTTTAAAAGCACGTCTAGCAAATAAGAATGATCCAACTAAGGGGCTCAAATGAAGTATAAAAGAAATTATGGAATTCAGTTTTCATTGTGTTTGGGAACATGTACACTAATATGTACCCAATTTGCATTTTTTTTTTAAATATTTTAATTCATTCTTTAGTCTAGCATTTATTGCTTCTTTTTAACTGCACGTTTTGTTGTTGGTTTTTGTTCGGCCTCCTCGGGTGTATCATCATTGTTATCCTCAGCCTCCATGGGTTCAGCTTTTTCTGCCGGTTCTGCCTTAATTTCATTTTCTTCTTCAACCATAATGGGTGTTGGGACACGACGTGTTGCATCCGGGTCAGTATCTTCTTCTTCGTGTTCATTGGTACTTTCATTTTCAACAACCGACAAATGATAGAGAGCCTTTTCTTCGGGTGAAATGGGTACTGGGGCATTCGATAGGGGATCTTTACCATTCAAAGATTTCGGGAAAGCAATAACATCACGTATGGAGGTAGCCTTACACATTATCGATATCAAACGATCTAAGCCTAGGGCAATACCACCATGTGGCGGACAACCAGATTCCAAAGCACTCAGTAAGTGGGCCAAATGGTCATGTGGAATTTTTAAGATTTCTTCCAATACATAATGTTGCATATCACGGTCGTGAATACGCATTGAACCGCCGCCAACTTCCTGACCATTCAATACCAAATCATAGGCCTGGGAGCGAATGTTTAATAGCTCATCTGGTTTGGCTTTAACAAAGGTATCCATATCATCGGGATGTGGAGCTGTGAAGGGATGATGAACACTCTCAAGTTTACCAGTTTCCGAATTCTTTTCAAACATTGGAAAGTCCAAAACCCACACGAATTTATTTTCAGCAATTTTACGTGCCTTGCCATTATCGACCAGGAACGTTTGATAATCACAACGTATTTTGCCCATAAGTTTACGCTTTAAAAGGAGAAGTCGCATACATTATTATAACATATAATTTATACAGGAAAATGGGTAAATACTTACAGTTTCATCTTTCTCCCCAATGCCCATGAACAACAGATCATTTTCCTCAATGTCGAATTTTTCAATTAGTTCTGTTGCCACTTCACTGCTTAAGAGTTTTGATAAACGATCCAAAATATCCTTATATTGCTGTAATTCAAAAAAGAAACAAATTAAGCAAAACTGAGATAAACAACAAAAAATGCAATTTCTTGACTCACCAAAAATTTGCGCACAAATAAGGTACCGGAGAATTCCTTAGACAAACTTTCATAGTGTTTACGAGCTCCAGTATTCCAATAGGCATCAATGCCACGAGCAATAATAACATAGGCTCCCAAATTTGTGAACTTTTCACCAAATGTTGGATTCTTTTCAATGATGTCAGTGACATTGGATAACTGTAAGAAACAGTGTATTAAAGAAAATACAATCTACTGATTGTACCGCGCGGCTACTTACGGTAAAACCAAAACGTGTATCTGGTTTATCCGTACCATAACGTTCGACAGCCTCTTCGTAGGTTATGCGTCGGAATGGTGTATGTATTTTACCCAACTCCTTGGGCCACGAATAACGTAAAACTTCTTCAATTAATTGAAGAATATCTTCACGTTTTGTAAACGATAGTTCTATATCAAGTTGCGTAAATTCAGGCTGACGATCGGGACGTGTAGCTTCATCACGATAACAGCGGGCAACTTGGAAATAACGATCAATAGCACCGGCCATAAGCATTTGTTTAAATTGTTGTGGACTTTGTACCAAGGAGTAGAAATGGCCAGCTTTACGAGTTGGCACCACAAATTCTTGAGCTCCACCCGGAGTTCGGCGGAAAAGTGTGGGTGTTTCAACCTCGACAAAGCCCAAATAATTAATAAGATATTCACGCATGCGCATAATTACTTGTGAACGTAGACGTAAATTGTGTTGCATGTCGGCAAATCTGAAAGGAAAAGCAATAGTTAATAGTTAATCTTGCAGATGGGACATCATTTCTTTAGAAGGTATGTATAGATTCTCCTCTAAACATTCAAGATTTGTAAAGACTTCAATCTATAAAAGACTCCTAAAACGTCTCTTATCAAAAATAAATAATAGAAGATCTGTCAAAGTTCTTCTATTCATATAGAGATGTTGAAGAACTTATATCCACAGAAGACCTTTAAAAATCCAAAAATGTAACTTACCTCAAATCTAAGTAACGATGTGTGAGACGCAAACGTTCACCAGCCCTATTAAATCGACGTACTTCAAATGGCAAGTTCTTTTTGGCGGCATTCAGCAATTCAACTGTCTCCGCCTCCACTTCAATATGACCAGTCTTCATTTTGGGATTTATGGTAGCTGTGGGTCTGGGTATTACAGTACCAGTTACCTTTAATACAGTTTCCAACGTAAGATTTGTATCTTCCAAACCCTTAACCTTATCGCTTAACAAAACTTGTGTCGAACCATAACCATCACGTAAAATGAAAAATCTATCCATACGTTGGAATTCCAACCAGCCACATAGTGTTACTTTTTCACCAATATTATCGGTGGTTAATTCACCACATGTATGAGTACGACTGGCAAATTTATTTAAATCGGCTACACTGATGACATTACTACTAGCCGAAGTTGTCTTTTTAGAACCACCAGCTCCTTCACCCTGAGCATCGTTGCCATTATTCTCACCATCTTCGGCCTCTTCATCGACCACATCGTTAATGGATAACTTCTTAACTTTCTCTTTGATTTTAATGGGACCATCGTAGGGCTCATCAGGATTGAGGACCTTTACCGTTGAGACAACAAGTTCAACCTCACCAGTATCATGTTTCTGAAAGAAGGAATAGGGAATTAATATGGTAAAGTTCTGGAACACTTTAAAAATTCAAGGAATGTTTTTGTATGCCGATACGAAAGTCAATGCAAAAGAAAAACCCGGTTCAAAACAAGTTTTTCAATTTTTTTTTTGGGATAAAACAATCTTTTAGAACCCAAATTTAAATGAGGTTTTCTTTCGCATTCTCTTCGGTATCGAAATTCGAAAACAAATCCTTTATTTCTGTAAAAATTGATTTTGTTTAATAGTTGGTATACAGCGTGAGATGAAAAAACTGCAACCGACTTCAGACTGCTGTCATTTCTAAGCCACTCGTCCGACAACTGTTAAAATTATTCCAGTGACAGCTCATTATATTATTTACAAGCGTACAAAAGCATTTTGATGAGAATTTTCTAGAAAAGGTTATTCGTGATGGAACTCAAGCGTGATTTCTTTATATTTGACTGGAAACCACAAGTGCCTATCGTTAGAGCACTCCAGCATTTAAATGTGAATAAATCTTTTGTATCTCGTACCATCGCTCGTACCCGTGATACTGGTAGCGTAGCCCGACGTGAAGAAATTAGACGGAAGAAAACGGCAACATCAGCAAAATCGGTTCGAAAAGTAAAGAAGTGACTTGGTCGAAACCCGCGTCGCAGTGGCCGTAAAATGACTTGTAAGCTGAACATATCGACAAATATTGAAAAATGAGCTCGGGGTAAAGACATCCAAATTCCAAAAAGTGCAAGAGCTTACACCGCAACAGAAGGAAAATAGTCTCAAAAGGGCTAAAGACCTGCTTTGCTTGGTCAAAAGTGGTGAACTGCCAAATTTGGTTTTCCGCCATAACCATAATCGACCGTGGCATCAGAATAAATGTCGAATATTATAGCGAATATATTCTGGAGGGTGTATTAAAGCCTTGGGCACGCAAACATGTTGACCGCAAACCTTGGACATTCCAACAGAACTCAGCGCCAGCGATTAAAAGAATGGTTAAAAAATGAGGTTCCTCGCTTCATTTCCAGCGCACAATGATCGCCAAAATCTCCGGATACCAAACCGTTGGACTATTGTGTCTGGAGGACTTTGGAAAGCAAGGTTTGCACCAAAAATATCAAAGTCTCGAACACCTCAAACAAGCGCTTCGCCGGTAATGGACCAAGATACCGCAGAGCAACATTCGAGCAGCGTATGACGGTTTTATTGGCCGTTTGAAGGGCATAATAAAAATTATGGCCATAATAAAAATTATGGCCATAATAAAAATTATGGCTTTTGACTTTGTTGCAGTTTTTTATCTCACCCTGTTCATTTAATCACTTACCAAATTAATATTCTGTTTAGGTCTGGCACAAACTTTTCCTGTTACCTGCACAACAGTGCCATCCGGTGCACAGCACACAGTATCACGCATCTAAAAACGAATTTTACATTATTTACATCTTTTCGTACTATATGAAAAAATGAAACCTACACTATCATCCTCAATTATAATTTGCGTTTGACCATAACCATCTTTCAATTGTAAAAATTTCGATGTTTTGCCATTGGGTATCCAACCTACCAATGTAACATCTTTGCCAATATCACGGCGTCGAACATCGTTGCATGTTAGATCACGATTTTCAAAATATTTTAAAATGTTTTCATTTTCTGCAAAAAAAAGAAAGATTAGATATTAAAGCTTCCATTACATTGTCTTCTAAACTTACTGGCAATTTTATATTCAGTACTAGTAATAGCTGTACTGTTTTGACTCATGGTACTGTAGGAGCGTTTGTCTCCGGCCCTTTTATTATTGAAATCAATATTAAGTATATCTTGTACTTCTACCTCAACATCGCCAGTTGGCATGGTATGATTACAGGAATTCTTGGGGCGTCTCTGTACTGTACCAGCAATACAAACAATCGTATCTTCCGGCATGTTAGCCAAACGACGGGCCACCCGAGGATTCTGCAAATTAAGGTATGATAAATATAACATATTTTATGATTATTTGATGCAACGCATACCCTATTCTCCAAAATGACCAATTGGCAGGCACCATTGCCGCGGTCCCTTAGTTCCATAAAGCGTGAAACCCGCTTTTTTATTAAACGTCCAGTCAGTTCAACATACATACCCACGTGATTGAGACGTAAATCTCCACAAGATATACGTACCGGTGGTGGTGGCGGAGGATTCATATTAAATCCACTGGCCATTGCATTCATAATTTGCATGAGATCATTGTTCGTCATATTGGGTGGCACTAGAATTGAAATTATGAATATAAATATGTTTTATCACTGAGTATTTTAAGGAAACATTTAAACAGCGAACTTTTAATGAATATTTTAAAGGATTTTATTAAAATTATGGATTCCTAAGAATAGTTTCGAAAGGTCTATTAGATTTGGAGAATACGTTTAGATAGACTTTTAAATCGTAGGTGGACGAATTATTTAAGAACATTTGTATAAGGTCTATTATACATATAATATTGGATCTTTATGAATATTTTGAAAGGACATTTAAATCTAACGCCATGGATTATTTTAGGAAAATTTTTTTGAAGGTCTATTATATTTATACTGTTGGGCTTTTAAGATTATATGTACTTATAAAGGACCATAACACCCACAGTCGTGGATTTTCGCTGAACTAATAATATATGGATTTTTTGAATATTTTTTTAAACCTTTCAGGGCAATGTGGGCTTTTAGAGAAACATTTCATAAGCCTATCAGAATAGGAATCGTAAATTTAAAGGCTGTTACATATGTTTTTGTCTATTCTAATATTTCCTGTAGGGATCTCAAAAAAAATTATTAGATTTAAAGAATATTTGTTCAAGATTTTATTTCGAGAACTAGTCGTTGGAAGGGAATAGATTTTCTCATGTTTCATTTTGAAAACTTTAATGGGTGTACGGCTACAATTTTAATGCGAAATCTCAAAAACGACTGAAATACTGAAAGAAACCCAATCAAATGGAAGTTTTATTTAATTTTCTAAACATTCCACTTCTTGAATTTAACATGAGAATATAAGTGTATTCATCATATATTTCATTTTAATTCCTTTATATTTGACCCATTTATAATGTTTTGCCTCTCTATCCTTAAAATGTAAAATTACCCCCAGGGAAGTGCGTTAAAGGAAAATGGTAATCTGACATTTGCCTGTATTGTAAGCAATAACAACATATCTTTTGGTAGATAGAACAAGTAGATAATACATAAATTATTTGTGGATAGATAACAAAACGTCTGGACATTCATATGTAAGTAGCCCATCAATCCAATACAATTTATTCACAAATAATTAGTGCCCATATAAAAACACATTTTTTTACTTACTGTTATTGTTGAAAGGATTCATTCCGTTGTTACCAAAACCACCGCCACCATAACCACCACCGCCATAGCCACCACCACCATAACCGCCGCCACCACCGCCAAAGAAGCCACCACTATTTCCAGAATTACCACGTTGACGTCCTCCCATTATGATCTGTGTTAAACAAGTGGAAATTGGAATTTAACTTTTAACTCAAAATCACCCCCTTAAAAAAAAAAAACTTACGTGACTATTTCGTGTCGGCACAAATGAGTATTTCCCTCCGTTTAATTCTTGGCGTAATTCTTTTTCGCTTGACTTTGTAATACAAAGTTGGTGTATCGATGCTGCTGCTGTTGTGGTTTTTTGGGATGTTTTCGGTGCCAGCTGCTTATAGCTTGTTACGAATTTTGTTTGCCTCAAAGCTCCTCTAGAAATTAATAACATTTTATCAATATATTATTTTTTTATTCTAAGAAAATGCGAATATTTTATTTTCCGTGGTGATCATAACACAAGCAAGAGCAATGCCGGGTTGCGTGAGAAATCAAGCAGTAATAACCGAAGGAAAAAAAAGAACACACACACATGTACATAACATTTCAGATAATCAACTCTCTTGCTCCAAAATAAACGGTTTGCGAGGGGGTTTCGGAGAGAGAAAAAAGCAAAATATAACAAATACATACAAAACCGCAATTGGATAAAAAGCCGAAAGAATATTGAATTTACAACGAAAATCAACCGACAAACAGCAATATCTCAAATAACTCTTTATTTACTCTTTTTCTATTGATAATTTTTAACTTTTACTATTCTTAATCGTAAACTCACTTTAATATGTTAAATATTTTACCGGAACTTTACTGTTTGAGTGGGTATATCAATTGCAAAATTAATTTTTTGCGGTAACAAAATCTCACAGACAGACGAAAACGACGGAACGAACAATTTGTGTACAATATAGGGATACGTAGGTCGACGGTGGTCATATCGATTGTTTATTAACAAATCGAATAATCGTTTTATTAATCATGTTAAAGTATTTCCATGGTAGTAGAATATTTTTCTACCATGAGTATTTCAAGGTAGGTCATAGAAACTTGCAATTACACATTTTTCTTTTGAATCATTGTTCTTTTTCACAAATCATTGTACTTTTCCAGAATCTGCAACTTTTCTGATATCATCAAGTAAAAAATAGGTTATCGTAGAAAACACTTGGTATGTTCCAGATCCTGCAATAATCTACTTATTTTGCAATTTTTTCGATACCGCAAAGCGAAAATCGGTTATCGTAGGAAAAACTGAAACATTCATGCAGTTCAGGAACAAAACAACTTTTACATTCTAGCCGTTCTGGAACAGAAATATACATTTTCGATCCCACAAAGTATACATCATTGCAGAGAATTGCACATATAGGTCATAGTTTTGGTATATACTCCAAATAACGGTACCTCCAGATTTCGGTATTTTGATGATGATGTTGTTTGATGATGTTTTTGTGTTAAGAGTTCGAAATATGCATACTGCATATGACCGAAGATATTATGTACAGATCCACAACTTCGTATAGCCGCCATATCCAATATTCAAAGTTTTCAACAGAATTATCTTGAACTTTTTATTTTTACTTCGTTATAGGCACTACTTTCTCTGGTAGATAATTGGCTATTGTTGATATTTGTAATTTTTTAAATTATAGCGATATTTTTTCAATCGATTTTTTTTTATATTTTCCTTATTTCCTTTTAAATATTGGAGGGTATAAAAAGTTTGACCTGGGAACATAGCTACTTTTTAACTTGTCTTCTTTTTAATTTGAAACGTTTTGTATTTTTGGAAATGAAGGGAATATAATGAAGCAAATTCCACTTTTTACAAACTACAGGACAATTGACTCCGATTATTAATTGCCAAAATAAAGGGGACAACTTCAGATTAGTAAACACTCTTCGATTTTTTCGAAATCAAGTTCGAACCCAAGAAAGAAATTGTTCCCCGGAATCAGGGTAAAAATAACTACCTCTGGAAAATTTTTCGAAAAAATCGAAGTTTTTACTAAACTAGAGTTAAGCCAAATAAAGTTTGTCTATGTAAAGTGATTAATTTACGAAATGCTAAAGATATTTTGACAGCCACGTGGTGAAAGTTAGCGGGATGTTTCCGACACAAAAAGTGTTCACTAAAATTTTGCGTGTTTGATTTGTTGTTGTTTCTACCAGTTGTTTTATTTTTAGCTGTTTATGCGTATTTTGCTAGAGTTTACTAGATCTTTTTTCCAAATCCTGCAAAACTCTATTCTAATAAGTACAGGTTTGTCTGATATCAACTAGCAAAAAGTCGACTTATATAGCCTTAATTGTGATAGATGTGTTCCAGGACTACTATCCCATTTTAAGTTTATAAACATTGTACAGGACAAAACAATAACTTCAATCGAGTTCAAAATAATTATCAAACTTAAAATTTCTAGTAGTCTTAGAAATGGAACATTCCATTGTGCGTTCTTAAATGGATTTAATTATATATTAAAACAGCTAAAAATATAAAAAAGTTTTAACATAATTTATTTATTTACAACCTTTTGATATTTTTTATTGCCTACAAATAAATTTTGTACAAAAAATATATTAAATCAAACCTAATTTTGTTTTGTTTTTGTTTTTCAGAAAATATAATTATTAAGGGAATTTTCTAACATTCTAGTTTCTTTTCTTAATTCATTCTTGAAAAATGCCACAATGCAGAAATGCAATTAAAGCGTTAATCATGATTTTCACAATTACTCGCTTATTACTTAATTAAAATATACAGTCGAACGTGCCTATAAAGAATTTTGTGTTTTAGGAACTAAAGGATTGTAATGTAAAAATTTTTTTGTAGAAAATGCAGGATTTGCACATATTTGGCCTGTTCCAGTACCAGCAAGAATCTACTGTTTTTGCGATTTTTTCGATATCATAAGTGGGAAATCGGTTATAGTATTAAAAACGTTTACATTCTTGCAGTTGTGGAACATTACAATTATAATGGTCTATAAGGAAAATATTTGATACCAAAGAGTTATTTATAACCGTGTTCGAGAGTACTCTATTTTAATATTCAAAGTTAACATTAAAATCTCTACACATACAAAAGCGTACATATATACGCGTCGCATATCTTTATAAAGGATATCTATAAGTACCAGTCAATAACAAAAAAATTCGATAAAAACATAGTTAATGGAATTTTCTTTAAAGCTCTCTATACATGGTACTATTCAATGAGTCGGTATAATGCGTTATAACATAATCATGATAATACATCATAATGCACAATGGTTGACCCAATATTATTGAGGCCCAAACAATAATATTGCCCATACGTGGTCCTAAGGCACGCTCAACAGCTTTGGATATAGCCGATAGGGGTATTTGTCCCATCATACCCAGGAATGCCCATATTTTATATGTTTGTAATGGCACTGATACCTTAAAATACAAAGAAATGTGATCAAATATTTAAAATAAGTCAAGTTTAATTTGGGATATTTTAACCTACCAAATATTCATGGAAGAAGGCACTGATTAGAAAGACAATAGTTGAAGCTTGCCGGGATGAGTAACCCATTTTAACAACGGGTATATACAAGTGACGAACACACCACCTGAAATCATAACAAAACGTATACGTCTGATATAATGGCATAATTTTAATTATATTCTTACCTATGAACTGGCATATTCCATGTTCTCCAAAATGTATCAATATTATTCGAATTCCACCAATCATTATAGAAATTGCGATCGGCAAAATGTAATATTTCACCAGTGGCATTCAAGAATGAATGGAATGTTAGATAAAAGAAACACAACCACACCAAATGATTGGGAAGCTGAAGGGGAAAGGAACCATTTTAAATTCAAATTAAATATTGATTTTGTATCGCATTTAAACTTACAGCCAGTTTCAATAAACGTTCCGTAGCCAAACCAACTTCCATACGTGAAAATGGTATCAACGAATTCTTGACCGATGGTATAATCCATTGCTGGAATAAAGACATAACCACATTTACCCCAATAATAACTTCCAATAAACGTTTCAGTAAGAAACGTTTACGAATGCGTGTTGTTTTTGGGAAATTCAGTTCATAACACAGTGTAGGTGCAGCCAAAAAATAGATGATATCTCTATAACATAAATTATCGGGATATTGTACCAATACTGGGACATCTTCGTCTTTTTCTTCGTCATCGCCGAATTGGCCATTTTCTGAAAAAAATAAGTTTCAAAAAAACAAAAGAAAAAGCAAAAGACACATCTACACTTACTCAACTGGGCCAAAGTAATGCTGGGTCGACGCACCCGTGGTTTGTATTGTTTCATGTGATATGTTTCACGGCACCACATGTTCACTTGAACATAACTCCATAATTTCAAAAATAGTATGGAATAGAAAAAGCAAACCGTGGATGCACCCACTAAAATAGGTAATATTTTATAAATGTTCGCTGGGTTTAAAATTACATCTATTTGGACTTACTTAAACTGAATAGGTGCCCCTTTAAATGCATAATTACTACCGGTAGTACAACGACCACAATAATATTTGTCACCTGCATAAACATACCCAAACCTTCGGATATGATTTCCTGCAAATTCGAAGAAAGAAAATGTATACGTCAATGTTGGTTTTGGAAAAATATAAATTTGTTGCTATGGAAGTTATTGTTTCAAATATAGCGTCAGTAGTATTCCTTAAGATTTATTTCAATTTTATGTAGAAAACAAAGGAGTAATACTTAAATAAAAGATTCGACTTGTTCTGTAAATTGTGCTCCACAAATGAAAATGTGTCGTTATTCAAGACAAAAACGATTTGTACAACAACAAAATTCTACGGTTTTGTTTAAAGGTCAGTTAATTTAACAAATTTAATAAATAGCTTTAGTAAAACTCGTTTGATAAACGAAATCTATATTGATATTAAGCAACAAATTAACTAAAAAAATATTTATTGTTGTTGTGTTTCAGAACCTGAAACATAGTTCTATTTGTAGATTTTTCCGTTGCCATTCCTTAAAAATGTATGTAGACATGGTTCAGGATTTCACAAAATAAGTGAATTTAAATACGCGCATGTAAACATGCCATGGTGATGTACCATAAAACAGTTTGTCATCGTACAGCGTATCTATCCACAGTTATCCACACGTTAATGTTACGTTACGTTATTAACTAATTTCACACATACCGCACACTTACTCGTCGCAGCAGCAAACAACGAACTCGAGGCATTTCATTTCATTTGCCGCAACACTCACGTTCTCCCGTTATCTCAGTGTAAATTTTGCAAAGGAATTTTTGCCATAAGCAAGTTTAGTTTTGATTTACGAAATTAATTAATTTAATCGCAGAGCGTTTAAAAATAACAAATAAAAGTATTTAGAATACAAATTCAAGAGTTTATATAAGAAAACACACGCCGAAAAAAGAAGGAGAACGTCCATTTTCTAATTTATTGGCGTGACAACAACAAAAATTTCATAATGGAAGTAAATAATGAGAATTTGCAACTGTTAGCCGGTTATTTGCAGCAAACATTGAGTCCAGATCCGAATATACGACGACCTGGTAAGTAGTATCCAGCTGGACATGTGTGAATGGTTAAACATTTTGCAAATTAAATTTTTTGCATTGCGTGTCTTTGCAGCTGAGAAACTACTGGAATCTACCGAGGCCCAGCGCAACTATGCCGTGCTTTTGCTAAATCTCATCGACAAGCCAGAAGTTGATATGACAATACGAGTGGCTGGTTCCATCGCATTTAAAAATTATATCAAACGTAATTGGGCTATAAATGAGGTATGTTTTTGCTCTCGTTGTTGTTTTTGTTCATATACATTGATCAGGATATTTATTCGTTGAGCTCACGCTTATAAATGGCGGGAATTTGAGGTGGAAACAGGCTTTCTTTGTTTGGTAACTGCTCTGACGTCAGTTATTGAATAGAGTTCAATTTTTTTAACAATATGATTTTGGGTGTCTTAAATGATAATTTGAAGTACAAACTATGCATTGTGATGGAGTCGTTATCTCTGCCTACAGAGGCAATATTCTGTTTTGAGGTAGGATTTGTTGGGGGCAAATCTCCGAATAGTTTCTGATTGCAAAAGTAACAAACTTTAAGATGAAATCCAATCCCTAAAGGGTGCCCATGCGACCACGATATATGTTTCATATTTTTCGTAATTTCTAAATTTTCTTTAGTTTTCACCCGAGTTTTCTACAAGATCTATTTTCTATATTTTCCTCATTTAGATAGGTAACAGAAAACTTGCATCATTTATCGAGATTGGAATTCATCATCATATTTAAGAACCCGGTCAGATTTTTAATTATTGATAAAAAAAATCAAGACTTTTTAAGTACTTAATTCTTTTTTTTTTCTAGGACTCGGATACGCCCGATAAAATACATATTGATGATCGTAATACCATCAAAACTTTGATTGTCACCCTTATGTTACGGTCTCCACCCGCACTGCAAAAACAATTGAGTGATGCTGTCAGTATTATTGGCAAACATGATTTTCCCAAAAAATGGCCACAACTTATCGATGAAATGGTTGAGAAATTCGGCACTGGCGACTTCAATGTCATTAATGGTGTTTTACAAACAGCCCATTCGCTCTTCAAACGTTACCGTTATGAATTCAAATCACAAAATTTATGGGAAGAAATTAAGTTGGTGTTGGATCGTATGGCTAAACCCTTGACCGATTTGCTTTTGGCCACAATGCAATTGACCAAAGTTCATGAGAATAATGTGGAAGCTTTAAAAGTTATCTATGGATCATTGGTTTTGGTCTGCAAAGTATTCTATTCTTTGAATTCACAAGATTTGCCTGAATTCTTTGAAGACAATATGGCTACATGGATGAATTCTTTCCATGAATTGTTAACGGTCGATGTGCCATGTTTGCATACTGGTGAGGATGAAGATGCTGGCGTTTTGGAACATTTACGTTCACAAGTATGTGAAAATATTGGCATGTATGCCCAGAAATACGATGAGGAATTTGCACCATATATGCAAACATTTGTTACTGCTGTTTGGGAGTTGTTGGTCAAAACCGGCATGCAAACTAAATATGATGCGGTAAGTTTAAAAAACTATAGCAAATGTTTATATAAACATAAATTTAACTTTATTTCAGTTGGTTTCAAATGCCCTGCAATTCCTGTCTGTGGTGGCAGAACGTACCCATTACCGTAAGATCTTTGAAAATCCCGAAATTTTGGCCAACATTTGCGAAAAAGTTGTCATACCCAATTTGGATTTCCGCCAATCGGATGAGGAACTTTTTGAAGATAGCCCTGAAGAGTACATACGACGTGACATTGAAGGTTCCGACATCGATACTAGACGTCGAGCAGCTTGTGATTTAGTTAAGACATTATCACAAAACTTCGAAGCCAAAATTTTTGGAATATTTGGACAATATTTAGAAATATTGCTGGCCAAATACAAAGAGAATCCAGCAGTGAATTGGCGTGCCAAGGATACAGCTATTTATTTGGTCACCTCATTTGCGTCTCGTGGTGGTACCCAAAAACATGGTATTACCCAGGCTTCGGAATTGGTGCCATTGCCACAATTTTGTGCTCAACACATTATGCCGGAATTGGAGAGACCCAACAGTAAGTAATGCATTTTTAAATTATAAAACCTAACTAGACAGATTTCCCCCTTTATCCACAGTCAATGAGCTTCCAGTTTTGAAATCAGCTGCTTTGAAGTTTGTCATGGTATTCCGTAGTTTGTTGGGTCAACAAACATTGCTTGCAGCCCTGCCACATTTGATACGCCATTTACCAGCTGAAAGTGTGGTAGTACACAGCTATGCAGCCTGTGCTTTGGAAAGAATTTTCACCATGAGGGATCCCACTAGTGCTTTACTGTAAATCATAAAATTTAAAACATAAGTTAATTTTAAACTAAATTATATTTTCTTTCAGTATTGGCCCACAACATTTGGCTCCAGTAGCCAATGATTTGTTGGGTGGTTTGTTTGCCACTCTGTCCCTGCAAGGGTCTGCAGAAAACGAATATGTAATGAAGGCAATTATGCGCAGTTTTAATTCTTTGCAAGAACACTCCATGCCTTTTATGGCCGTTGCATTGCCCAGATTAACAGAAATCCTCACCATGGTGGCCAAAAATCCCTCCAGACCCCATTTTAACCATTATCTATTCGAAACCCTATCATTGGCTATTAAGTAAGTGATAACATTGCAAAAATTTTAATTAAACTTTAACTTTCATTTTTCCTCCTAGAATTGTATGCAAGACTGAGGCTGCTGCTGTCAGCTCCTTTGAAGAGGTTCTTTTCCCAGTTTTCCAGGGTATCCTGCAACAAGATATTTTGGAATTTATGCCCTACGTTTTCCAAATGCTTTCATTGCTTTTGGAAATACGTGAGGGTAGTGGAGCCATACCAGAACCATATTGGGCTCTTTTCCCTTGCCTTTTGGCTCCACCACTGTGGGATCGTTCCGGTAATATTAGCCCTCTCATAAGACTCCTATGTGCATTTATTAGACAGGGTGCAACACAAATAGCAGCAATGGATAAATTGGTAAGTTAACACCTCTACATCTCATAGTTTTAGAACCTGCAACAATTTAAATTTTTGTTTTCAGAATGCCATTTTGGGTATATTCCAAAAAATGATTGCTTCCAAGGCCAATGATCATGAAGGCTTCAATTTACTTCAGAATCTCTTGGCATACTATCCACAAAATGCCATGCAAGCGAGTATGCGTCAAATATTTGCTTTGTTATTCCAACGTTTGTCATTGTCTAAAACCACCAAGTATGTTAAATGCATCATTGTATTCTTCTGCTACTATGCTGCCAAAATTGGTGCCCCTGCCTTAGTGGAGCTCATCGATCAAATTCAAGCAAATATGTTTGGCATGGTTGTAGATCGTGTCTTTATTCCCGATATGGCCAAGGTATCCAACGAATTGGAACGTAAGACAGTTGCAGTGGGAATTTCTAAGATACTCTGTGAATGTCCTGCAATGTTATTACCACCCTACAATCAATACTGGTCACGACTTTTACAAGCATTGGTTGAACTTTTCGAATTGCCCCCAGATAAGACCATAACTGAGGGAGACAATTTCATTGAACCTGATGAAAGTTCTGGCTACCAGGCTGCTTTCTCACAACTGAGTTATGCCCAACCAAAAACACAAGACTTCTTGGCCGAAGTTGCTGATGGCCGTAAATACTTGGCTGATTCTCTGGCTAAACTGGCTCAAACACGTCCCGGTGAAATTCCTCAGCTTGTGACCGCCATTGGCGATAATCACAAACAAGCTTTACAAAAATATTGCGATCAGTATGGAGTGCGCATAGTTTAAGTAATTGTCTATGATATTGTTTTGTAAGTTTATCCATTATACTATCTAAAATATCCACATATGAGTGTTTTCGTTTTTTTCTAATTTCATTGTTATTTTTTTCATTCGCTCAAACAAATATTATCGATTAATACATTTTTGTACTTCTTTTTAAACTATTTTATAAATATAATCTTTTTTTTGTATGCAACTTTGTAAAAGTCAGAAATGATTGAAGAGATGAGATCCTACATTAAAGCATAAATAAATATTGTTGTTGGCACAAAATGCAGCAATCGTATATAAAAATATCGTAAATTCTTTTTCTTCAGGTCAAGGAAAGTTAAAAAACAAGAACCTTGGAATAAAATATAAAAACTGTGAATAAACTTTTGATGTGTGAAATCTTCCGCTCAAAAAACATTTATTTAAAAGATGTGTACAACTTTTTTAAAAGTCTTCTGTATCAAAACTCAAAATAAAGCACATCATCTGAAAAGCTACTACAGGACTTCAGCTCAAAAATGCGAAATGCATTCAAAGCTATAATCGTTATAACCATGGTCTACTGTTACATATTCAATTTTTTGTCTCCTCGTATTTTGACAACAGTTCAGGAGCCAAATCACCGCAGTCGAAATCGAGTACTTCAGCATCGTAATGTAGTTTACGCGGATCACAGCAGTCGTTTTCGAATTGTTTTTACTCGCCGTTGTACACGATAGGTAGTATGCTATCGAAAACAAAGTACATATGTTGTGATTTTTGTACGGAAAAAAGGCAAACAAAAAGAAACAAGAAGTTGGTGAAAGTGTAAGTTAATTCAATTTTAAATAGAATAACTTACACCACTTCAAGCAATGTTAAAGGATTGAATTTGTCACGAATATTTTCCTATTAATGCCACTTTGTACTCATGCTCTGAGTCCGAAGACGAGGAAAAAAAAAACACTTGCATTCATAATATATTTGTACACATGTATTTAAACACTCAGAAATAACATAAATTTCTCAGAAATAACATATTTTGAAATTCTCTTTCGCTTCTAATTTCTTATTACCATATGTTTACAGCAATGTAAAAAAGGTAGTAGACAAAATAAATTGCGATCGAATGCGGTGATCCAATTTACAGCGATCGAAATGTTTCTTTATACGAAACAGAACTCGATGTCGAATGCGGTGATTTGGCCCCAGAACTTGAATCAATTAAATTCACACGTTGTGTGCTGTTAAATAATATGAACAACAAGTTATTAAGTGCTATGCGTTATCATCGGTTTCTTCGTATTTATATTTTCGCATGCTTTTGAAATTAATGCTGAATTTGTGTGTTCTTTTTTTCAAAATCATATTTACATACACATTGACTACTTCGCGTATTGATGATGTGTTTGATGCCTTTATTTATTTAACTAATTTAAAAAAAATTCTTTCAAATTTATAATTTCCATAAACCTTTTGATAGTTCATTTTACCTACGGCTAACTGTTTACTAGTATCCATAAATATTTCAACGTCTTCAAATGTAAACCCTGGAAACGACACCAAGAATTCCCGAATTCCATCTGTATCTCTTCACCCAATGCCAAATTTAGTAACATTTAGTACTCTTATCCAAAACAATCTACATCTCTCCATCATAGACACCAACATTGATCCAAAATTAGTACCATTTTTCGAACACTTATAGTAAGCATTTGTATAACCACCACCAGATGTCAAAAGAGATCTCAATATCAAATTTCGAGATTACAGTTCGCTCAATACCAAATTATGTAACATTTAGAACATTTCCTATAATATTAAGTCTAATTTCACGGTTTCGCCTCTATTTCTTCATCCAATACCAAATTTAGTACCATTTAGTACTTTTCATACAAATATAGGACGTATTTCCAAACCCACATCCAAATCTCAACCTCAGATACCAACCGTTATTTAAATAGAAAATTTCAGAATTTCATCTCTACCTCTTCAACCAAGACCAAATTTAGTGTCACGTATTACACTTCGTAAAATTGTAATACATACTCCCAAAAGACCCTCTATATTTCAGGCTCTGCATGAACTGGGAGCCTAATGCCAAATTTCGGATTTCAAACACTATCTGTTCATCCAATTCCAAATTGTACCAAAAATATTATAAGTATTATTTAGTACTTTCCGTGCACATTTTTAAACCCCTATCAAAACCTAAAATACCAACAGCTTTATTCCTTTACCCAATACCTAATTCGGTACCACTTAGTACTCTTTAGACTATTATAGTACACATTTCCAAAACCAACTTCATATCTTAACCACAGACGCCAACAGTGATATCTATATCAAATTTTAGCTCTATTCCTTCAGTCAATAAAAATTTAGTACTATTTAGTACTTTTTGTGCATTCACAAGGTGAGATGAAAAAACTGCAAATAATTTCTGAGTTTTGCCTTGTTAAGGCGAAGATCATATGATTTATGTGTTTGTTTTCTCTTTCGAGACGAGCTTAATGATCTGAAATTTGCAGTGAAAAGGAAAGCCAGATAGACACTATCACACACTCACCACTATGCGACGCGTTTCGCCGTTGGTTAAGCGGCTCATCAGGCATATTTGGTGTGGATGATGGCTTACAAGGGCCGTTCTCTGGAAAGTAGTATATATTTCGAACTTATTGCAAATTAGCATATGCGAATTATACACTAGAAACTCTCCAGGTTCGACTCAAGTTCTATTGGCAGATCTTTTTCACAGCAAAGTTTTGTTTTTGTAGTGATGGATTTTTTGTCCACAACAACTACATTGCTTCCAATGCATACACTTGTTTTAGTGCTGCTTTAGGAAGACGGGTTAATGGCTCTGAACGTAGAGACGGCAACTTCTAGTTGGCTGCACACCGAGGTCCGCGGTTCAAATCCCACAGCCAGGCTCGGCTGAATTTTTGAGTTTTGCCTTGTTAAGGCGAAGATCATATGATTTATGTGTTTGTTTTCTCTTTCGAGACGAGCTTAATGATCTGAAATTTGCAGTGAAAAGGAAAGCCAGATAGACACTATCACACTATGGTGAGTGTGTGATAGTGTCTATCTGGCTTTCCTTTTCACTGCAAATTTCAGATCATTAAGCTGCTTTAGGAAGACGGGTTAATGGCTCTGAACGTAGAGACGGCAACTTCTAGTTGGCTGCACACCGAGGTCCGCGGTTCAAATCCCACAGCCAGGCTCGGCTGAATTTTTGAGTTTTGCCTTGTTAAGGCGAAGATCATATGATTTATGTGTTTGTTTTCTCTTTCGAGACGAGCTTAATGATCTGAAATTTGCAGTGAAAAGGAAAGCCAGATAGACACTATCACACTATGGTGATAGTGTCTATCTGGCTTTATTCGTAATGGAATTCGCTCGTTACCGTGATACTGGTAGTGTAGCCCGAAGTCAAGGAAGTGGACGGAAGAAAACAGCAACATCAGCAGAAATGGTTCGAAAAATAAAGAAGCCAGTGGCCGAAAAATGGCTCGTGAGCTGAACATATCGCAATATCCCATTCGGCAAATATTGAAAAATGAGCTCGGGGTAAAGCCATTAAAATTCCAAAAAGTGCAAGACCCAAAAGAGCAGAAGAGTTGCTTCGCTTGTCCGAAAGTGGTGAACTGGTAAATTTGGTTTTCTCCGATGAGAAAAACATTCGTTGTCCAGCAGTTTTCGTTGTCCAGCAATGATCGTGTTTACTTTCTAAAGAGGTCAGTTGAAAATTTGCACATTCGGTTGGCCACCAGAACTCAAGCGCCGGCCATGTTTGTAGTATGGACCGCCTTACAGCTGATGGTCGCTCTCCGCTCGTATTAATCGACCTAATATTAACGCGAAAATATTCTGTTGGTGTATTAAAGCCTTCGGCACGCAAACATTTTGGCCGCAAACCTTGGACATTCCAAGTGGACTCAGCATCATCGCACTCAGCATGCGCCACCCAAGAATGGTTGCAAAATGGGGTTCCTCGCTTCATTTCCAGCGCACAATGGCCACCAAAATCTCGGGATACCAATCAATTGTGTCTGGAGTATTTTGGAAAGCACTAAAAATACGAAAGTGTCGATCACCTCATCCAATCGCTTCGCCGGGAATGGCCCAAAATACCGCAGAGCAACATTCGGGCAGCGTGTGACGGTTTCATTGGCTGTTTGAAGGCTATAATTCGTGCCAAAGGTGACAAATTCGAACAAATCTTAACATATTATATATTTGATGCCATTTCCGACATTTTTTGCTTTCATTCAATAAAATTTAAAGAAAAAAATTAAAATTATGGCGTTTGATTTTTTGCAGTTTTTTTTTATTTCACCCTGTACATCTTAATCCGATTTTACGGCACATATTGAATAGTTTTTTATACCGTTTTGTAACTCCTCGAAATACTTATGTCAGACCCAACAAAGTATATATATTCTTGATCAGCGTAAAATTCTAAGTCGATTTAGTCCTGTCTGTCTGTCTGTCCGTCTGCCTGTCTTTGTATAGCCCCCACGTCTTTGTATAGCCCCCATACAACGGTACCTCCCTATATTCGGTATTATAATGATTTTAGCGACATTATTCACCGGAATTGTTTCAAATCTGGTATTTGAAGTTCGAAATGGATACTACAGCCTATGACAGAAAATTGTCTGTGCAGGTCCACGTCTTCGTATAGTCCCCGTATAACGGTACCTCCCAAACTTCGGCATTTTTATGATTTTAGCGTCATTATTTAACGGAATTGTTTCAAATTACGTATTTAGTGTTCGTAATGGAAACTACAGTCTGTGACAGAAAATTGTCTATGCAGGTACATATCTTCGTATAGGCCCCATATATCAGTACCTTCCTATATTCGGTAGGTACAATACCCACGGAAATTTTTTGAAATGTCGTATTTGACGTTCGTAATGGATGCTATAGCCTGTGAAAGAAAATTGTCTATGCTGGTCCAGGTCTTCGCACAGCTCCGATATAACGGTACCTCCCTATATACTATATTTTGATGATTTTAGCTACATTATTCACCGTTTATTTCAAGTTTCGAATTTGAATATGGTAATGGCTTATGACAAACAAGGCCTATATAGGTCCACGTCGTATAAACCCCAATATAACGGCTATATTCGGTATTTTTAAAATTTTAACAGAATTTTTTAAGGACTTTATTTTTTTGAAAATTTTCAAATTCGTTCCAAATGGCGGGGGGTATTCAAAGTTCGGCCCGGACGAACTTACTCTAATAAGCAGTTTTTAATATATTCCTTATCGCAGTCATATTATGGTATGATCTACTTCACTTGCTGGTTTTTATTTCATTTAAGCTACTTACCATGGCTAGGCCCTTTTCTACCAATAAACATATGGATATGTGCACAAAAGAATCTGTGACGAAAAAAATAGAAAGACAACGAAAACATAGAAATTAGTTTCAAAAAAAAAAAAAAAAAAAAATAAAAATAAATAAATAAATAAATAAATAAATAAATAAAAAAATAAATAAAATAAGAATTAAAATTTGAATTTCAAATAAAATTTGTGAAACTTACATAGAATTAAAAACAATGATGCATGTCCTTCGGATTCATTTTTGCCGCTTAAGAAGATATACCAATCCAAAGGATTTACCCGAATGCCATATCTAATATGAAGAGATGATGAGGAAATATTATTTTGTAAGTATTACATTTAATTGAAAATTACATTTTATAATACTTACTTTAATAAGTTTTCTAAACACAAACGGAATCCACCGATTGTCAGCAGAAGGAAACCCCAATTAACTAAACCGGTAAAATTACTGAAACCTGAACTCCATGAGAATAAAGAATCTCTGGGCCGATGACAGCTGGAAAAAGGAAAGGTAAGACAAATAAACCAAATAAATATCAGAAAAGTCAAAAGATTGATAACCCAGCAAACAAGTCGGATTACTGGTCCATTATTTTAACAAGGACTGATACTCGAAATACATAGATTTTTTGGAGAAATAAGTTTTATTTTGGACCACAAATAAGTAGCTAGTACTTCAGTTAACTAAAAGGAGTAAGTACTTCGAGTGATACGCTCTTGTTCAAGTAATGGGTTAGTAATCGGACATGTAATGATGTCAGTCCGTCAGTCCATGTATTTTTGTGAATAAAATGCAGGTTGCATTTATTACCCGATTGAGATGAAATTTTGCAAACAATATTTGTTTGGACTAAGGACGAAATTGAAATAGGTGATAATCGGATCGGAATTAGATATAGCTCCCATATATTGTCAACCGATTTCGGGTAAATTGTATACCAAATGATCAATATAAATCCCAATGACCTGCATTTTGGCACATCCCACCAAATTTAGTCTAGAAGCATGTACATCAATTTTAGAGAAAATCGGTTCAGATACAGCTGAATTTCGGTACATCCCACCGAATTTAGTCTAGAAGCATGTACATCAATTTTGGAGAAAATCGGTTCAGATACAGCTTTTGCTCGCATGTATATGTTTTATCTAATTTGGGGTTGTAAGTCCCTCACATTGCATTCGACAACAATGATATTTGGTATCAGATATCAGATACAGCTCTGAAATGAGTGTATCAAATGTTGTCAAGATCGGATCAGATTTGGATATAGCTCCCACATATATCCTTAACTGATTTCAGGTTAATTGTGTACCAAGGGGCCAATATCAGTTCAAATGACCTGAATTTCGGTACATCCGACCGAATTCAATCTAGAAGCAAGTACATTAAATTTGATGAAAATCGGTGAAAATATAGCTATAGCTGCCATATATGTTTCATCAGATTTACTGTTTAAGTCCCTCACATTCGTAATATGCAATCCAAAACAGTGATCTTTGGTACCAGATATCAGATACAGCCCAAAAAGTACATTAAATTTGGTGAAAATCGGGTCAGATATAGCTAAAGCTGCCATATATATGTTTCATTCGATTTGGTGTTTAAGTCCTCACATTCGTAATATGCATTCGAAAACAGTGATATTTGGTACCAGAAATCTTATAAAGCTCGTAAACACCTTTGCCAAATTTTTATCAAGATTTGATCAGTTTTGAATATAGCTCCCATATCCGATTTCAGGTTTATTGTGCAAATAATGGCTAATATCAAGTCAAATGGAGTGAATTTCGAGACTTTAGTGAAAAGCGATGCAGTATTGGATATGCCTACTATACATAAGTTCCCTCTGAAACCAAACTATAACTGCTCTAAAGCCAAATGTTGATAGGTGATATGATCTACTTCAAATAAATTATTTTGTTATGGGAGCTCGACTAAGTACGCACAGTGGTGTAGGGTATCATATAGTCGGCCTCGCCCGACTTTCAACTTTTCCTTACTGTTTTTTTTGCTGGTAAGGATCATGAATATTTTTTCTGATGGAAAAATGTTCGTATAAATCTGTTTTCTAAAGTCCTTATGCCAAAATTTCGAGAGACAAACAAGATTTTAATATTCTGTACAGGTCCATTCCCATAATCCACCAAAACGAAGATATATTGTGAGAGGTTATGTTTGGCTAAAATTTAAATAATAAAACATCTTCCACATCCCAATTTTTTCCTCCTACTCACCCTTTATCTGGTTGCTGAAGACGTTGCTTTTCCGATTTCGTCGTGATTTCTTCAGCTCTCGTTACACTTTGCGTGCGACGGTATCGAGTCTTCTTCTCTGAACTGTTGTTATTATTGCTTCCATTATCTTCTTTGTCGAGAACTTTGCGAAATTGTTTCAGATCAATCGGGATTCCATGTTGATCAAAGAGATTTTGTGTGGACTTGCGATTTCGTAATTCACTCATATTATGTTCACTGGCCGAGGCGGAACGACGCAGTTTCTTTATCATCCCCACACGACCATTTTGCTCTTTGGCCGCCATTTTATTTTGAAGCGGGAGGCGGGCGAATTTTTTTTCTGCAAATAAGAAAATAATGACTAAAAATTAACCAAAAAATAAAAATCGTTTTGAAAAGTTATGGAAAAAAACGAACAGTTTACGTCTGTAAACATTTGGACGATCGCAATTAGAAATTTTATTGTACCCCCCACGGAGCGGGGATATCAAATATTTAGATAATAAAATACTCAAAGTACCTAGGCGATAATAATCTGAAATATTTGAAAAAACAAATAATCAGCTTTATTTTTTAGATTTTATTGATTTATTTTACAATGATTGTAGATTGGGAGAATTATAAATTTTATTATCTAAATGATTGCAATTTCAATATTGATCTATAATTTGATCAGGTGTTCTTTTAACAACTCAATAAATGAACCCACGCAAGATTCTATTCAAAATTAAAAGTTCAGTAATTCATTAATAATGACCAATTTTCCTGTGAATAGATGGAAAAATCATTTTGGAAAAGATAGCCATTGGTAGGAATATTAGAAACCCAAAGGAACCACCACCGATATACAGGGTGAGATAAAAAACTGCAACCAAGTCAAACGCCATAAGTTTTACTTTTTTTTTAAATTTTATTGAATGAAAGCAAAAAATGTCGGAAATAGCATCACCTTTGGCACGAATTATGGCCTTCAAACGACCAATGAAACCGTCACACGCTGCCCGAATGTTGCTCTGCTGTATTTTGGTTCATTCCCGGCGATGCGCTTGCTGAGTCCTGTTCGTATGTCCAAGGTCTGCGGCAAAATGTTTGCGTAGCTTTTATACACCCTCCAGAATATTTTCGCGATAATATTCGGCATTTATTTTGATGTCACGGTCGATTAATACGGCTGCCCACAACCATAACCATGGCCGCTGCTTGAGTTCTGGTGGCCAACCGAATGTTTACTCATCGGAGAAAACCATATTTGGCAGTTCACAACTTTCGGCCAAGCCAAGCAACTCTTTAGCTCTTTTGAGTCTATTTTCTTTTTGTTGCGGTGTAGGCTCTTGCACTTTTTGGAATTTCAATGGCTTGGGGGTAAAGCTAATCTTTCAATATTTGCCGAATGGAATATTGCGATATGCTGTTTAGCTCACGAGCCATTTTTCGGCCACAGCGACGCGGGTTTCGATCAAGTCACTTCTTTACTTTTCGAACCATTTCTGCTGTTGTTGCTGTTTTCTTCCGTCCACTTCCTAGACGTCGGGCTACGCTACCAGAATCACGGCAAGGAGCGATGGTACGAGACACAAAAGGTTTATTCACATTTAAATGCTGGAGTGCTCTGACGATAGGCACTTGTGGTTTTCCAGCCAAATATAAAGAAATCACACTATCACGCTTGAATTCTATCACGAATAACTTTTTTTCTGGACAATTCTCACCAAAATGCTTTTGTACGCTTGTAAACAATATAATGAGCTTTTACTGAAATAATTTTAAAAGCTGTCGGACGAGTGGCTTAGAAATGACAGCTGTCTGAAGTTGGTTTTTATAATTATCTGTAAGAATCTACTAGTTTTGCAGGTTTTTTTCTTTATGATATTGAAGAAAAAATCTGTTATCGCAGTAAAATTTTTCGATTCTGCAGGTTCTGGAACAGAGCATATACCTGAGACATGTATACTTGTGTAGTGTATCGACTAGTCGGTCAATAACCTTATGTTTATTGTCGCATTTATAGCGGTGCATTATTGAATGATCGTCATATCCACAACTCTGAAACCCATTTACTTAATACTCATAGCGCAATTACTTAATAAACGATAATTTTATTTCCCATATTTCGCCCCTCGCCTTCTGATAATAAAGCTCAGATTAACAACACACAAATACGCTTTCTTTGAGACAACAGAGTAGTGGTTGGGTGAAATTTTCATTGAATCTTTTCTTTTGATATTTAGTTCAAGTATAACTTGTTCATTTTTTTCTAGACCGATAACCGATAAAAAGTACAATGTGTTATGAGTCAAAATGTATTGAAACGAAAAAATTAAAAAAAAAATATATATGGATGTACGCCAATGTTGATAAAACTTCCGAGCTCCATGTTTGATAAGATATAAATTACTAGACTAGATGTCTTTCCAGGGCAGAGGTATCCAATATTTATATTCAGTATTTACACAATTTTTCAATAATGACGTATATTGGGCCGATTTCTTCCCATAGCGATCCGAAAGAAATGCCATTCTTTCGAAATAGTACTTTTACCTTTTTAATCGAATCAAAATTGAATGTAGATGTGAGAGCACCTGAATAATTTAAACTTAATTGTTTTTTTACAATTAAAAACAGTGATTACAAATTGTTGGCATATTTCCAGTCATCTTGTGTGGGACATTCTTTTCACAGCCAAACATGGTCAAAACAGTGTCAATGACCCAATCTGTTGAGGTCTTTCATATTCAGTTTGTATGCATGTGCATCTTGACATTGGCTTTGGCTGGTTGGTTAAAATTAAAGGTATGAAGTGCGTATATGGATAACCAAAGAACAGTGCTGTCATCCTCAGGTCTACAGTCAATACCATTTAAATTGGATTCTTAAAGCATAAGTTATTTATTTTATGTCTCACAAATGTCCAGCCATAAAAATCTTACAAAAAATAAGAAATAAAATTGAAGTCGCAGTTTTTGAAAATTTTGTGACAAGAGCAACAAATTTCAATTATCTGCAGTGGACTGTAACTGTCGAATCATTAAATTTTGTTAATTCGATTACTTCTGTTTTTAGTCTTTGTTGTCTTACTCCAGAAGACGTGTTATCAGGAAAAATACCATGTTCGTTTATTTTGCTCTCCACCAAACTTTCCATAATATAAAGTCATGATTCACAAGAGGCGAGATGGCCACAGGCTTTACTTTCTGCTAGTGAAGTGTATTATCAGTGTGTTTTTTATTATGGAAAAATATGTAACCCTTGAAAACAAAGCCGTGCACGTTTTTTATTTTCATGTCTGACCTATCATAAAAACAATCTCTTTCTAAAAGAAATTAAACAACTAAAATAAATAAAAACATATTTGCGACAGTAGCATATTTCAAAAGCGCGGGCCCTATAATACACAACATAAACGTATAACCTAAAGTGAAATATGTGTCTGACATATTGTCCATAACAACATTTGTCGATAACAATTATTCTATGAAGAAAAGTGGTCGATAACAACTATTCTATGGAGAAAATTTGTCGATAACAACTATTCTATGGAGAAAATTTGTCGATAACAACTATTCTATGGAGAAAAGTGATCGATAACAAATATTCTATGCGGAAAAGTTGTTGATAACAAATATTCTATGCCGAAAAGTTGTTGATAACAACTTTTCTATGCGGAAAAGTTGTCGATAACAACTGTTCTAAGCGGAAAAGTTGTCGATAACAACTGTTCTATGCGGAAAAGTTGTCGATAACAACTGTTCTATGCGGAAAAGTTGTCGATAACAAATGTTCTATGCGGAAAAGTTGTCGATAACAACTGTTCTATGCAGAAAAGTTGTCGATAACAACTGTTCTATGCGGAAAAGTTGTCGATAACAACTGTTCTATGCAGAAAAGTTGTCGATAACAACTGTTCTATGCAGAAAAGTTGTCGATAACAACTGTTCTATGCAGAAAAGTTGTCGATAACAACTGTTCTATGCAGAAAAGTTGTCGATAACAACTGTTCTATGCGGAAAAGTTGTCGATAACAACTGTTCTATGCGGAAAAGTGGTCGATAACAACTGTTCCATGCGGAAATGTTGTCGATAACAACTGTTCCATGCGAAAAAGTTGTTTCTCGAGAGAGAAAAGTGGTCGATAACAACTTTTCTATGCGGAAAAGTGGTCGATAACAACTTTTCTATGCGGAAAAGTTGTCGATAACTACTTTACCATGTAGAAAAGTTTTTTTCATAGAGGAAAGTGGTCGATAACAACTTTTCTATGCGCAAAAGTGGACGATAACAACTTTTCTATGCGAAAAAGTTGTCTATAACAACTGTTCTATGCGGAAAAGTGGTCGATAACAACTTTTCTATGCGGAAAAGTTTTCGATAACAGCTGTTCTATGCAGAAAAGTTGTCGATAACAACTGTTCTATGCGGAAAAGTTGTCGATAACAACTGTTCTATGCGGAAAAGTTGTCGATAACAACTTTTCTATGCAGAAAAGTGGTCGATAATAACTTTTCTATGCGGAAAAGTTGTCGATAACAACTGTTCTATGCGGAAAAGTTGTCAATAACAACTGTTCTATGTAGAAAACTTGTCGATAACAACTTTTCTATGCGGAAAAGTAGTCAATAACAACTTTTCCATAGAGAAAAGTGGTCGATAACAACTTTTCTATGCGGAAAGGTCGTCGATAACAACTTTTCTATGCGGAAAGGTCGTCGATAACAACTTTTCTATGCGGAAAAGTTGTCGATAACAACTTTTCTATGCGAAAAGTTGTCGATAACAACTTTTCTATGCGGAAAAGTTGTCGATAACAACTGTTCTATGCGGAAAAGTGTTCGATAACAACTGTTCTATGCGGAAAAGTTGTCGATAACAACTTTTCTATGCGGAAAAGTTGTTTCTCGATAGAGAAAAGTGGTCGATAACAACTTTTCTATGCGGAAAAGTTGTCGATAACATCTTGGCTATGTGGAAAAGTTGTCGATAACTACTTTACCATGTAGAAAAGTTTTTTTCATAGAGGAAAGTGGTCGATAACAATATTTCCATACACAAAAGATGCCGATAAAAATGTTTTCATATAGAAAACTTATCGATATCAAATTTTCCATAGGGAAAATTTGTAAATTACACCACTTGTATTATAGGTTATATTCTTGTCGCTTCAATCCATCTATGCATATAGGCCGTGTGAAACACTTTCGATTTGATATAATTTCTGATTTTGTTTGGTTTTTAGGAAACATTGTCTAGTGACGAAAGTTATTATCATTGTTCTGGCCCACATTTGTTTTGGTGATGTCTGGCCAGCATTTTTTTGAACAACAAGATAAGTGAATAAAATAAAAA